TTTACTCACCCTCAAGTCATCCTGTATATGACTTTATTCTTTCAGACAAATACAATCAGAGTTACATAAAAAAATATCCTGGCTCTTCCAAGCTTTATAATGGCAGTGAATGGGTGTCGAGATTTTGAAGTGCATCTATCCATCATAAAAGGGGGGGGGGGTATGAACATAATAAATATGATATAATTATTATGTAATATGAACATAATAAACTCAAACCCAACTGCGTTATCTTGAAAATAAGCCACATACCAAAATATAGCGTCCCGCACCTGCCTACTTTATTAACTCCATAAACTGGATTGCTTCATGAGCCGAGCCCAAACAACAAACCCAGAGATACTTAATAATCATTGATTAAAAGAGGACATGGCAACCTTTCAAGAGTGCTCTCTGCAAAGTAGCCTTCCAAACAAAAGTTTATGGTGGTTTAGTTAAAATCGCTGAACAGTCTTTGGTCACTGTAATTCACTCCTGTATTGTGACTCATGAAACCACACATTGTGTCCGTGGCAAATAACTGTTTGAATGAAATTAGAGAGAGTGTGGTCAGTGTGACATGAGAGATGTGAAAGAAGTGCCGGCCTCCAGTTCCCAGATGAATGGTATGTTATTCGGCATTGCTACTGATGTTATTATCAGGCAATAACACCTCGGAAAAATCAAAAATCGTTTTGACCAACATTGCTTACAGATATTCAAACTTTTCCATTGATTATCAGTTATTACATATCATGTTTACAGATAAATGGCTCCATCTGGTTTGTCTCTAAATATAGTGCATTCAGCAACACTATTACACCAGTGCAATTTCAACAGTGTCACAGGTAATGTGACTTAATATTTGACTGTTTTATCTTTCTATTAATATTCAATGCAATATTAGGCTCATAAAGCCTAACCTAATATTGGTTCTTCTGTAATTACAAATGGACTTCAGGGGGAAAAATTTAAATGCTACAAACGTGTTGAACACAGCCCTTTGAAAGTAAGATAAAGCCATTCCAGACATAAGAAACTAAACAGCTGCAACTGTGCTATTCAGCTGTTGACATCTAACAGCCTGAGACCAGACAAGTGTCTCGCACCCTTGGCAGAAGAAGCCATGCACTGTCTCACAAACATGTACACACTTTCACACACAAGCGACACTTTGGGTTAAAGGGATAGTTCACCCAAAAATGAAAATTTTATGTTTATCTGCTTACCCCCAGGGCATCCAAGATGTAGGTGACTTTGTTTCTTCAGTAGAACACAAACGGAGATTTTTAGCTCCAGCCGTTGCAGTCTATCAGTCGTATAATGCATGGCAATGGTAACAAAATCTATGAGAGTAAAAAAAACATGCACAGACAAATCCAAATTAAACCCTGCGGCTATTTTTGGGTGAACTATCCCTTTAACCCACATCCCAGGGAGGCTGGACTGAATGCTTCGGGTTCGACTGACTAATCAGTGGCATTGTGACATCAAAACCACAGCTAGGAAATGCTATTGTTTATGTCTGAATTCCTTCCAGAGACATTGTTTACAAGTTAAAAGCAGTAGCCACAACCCTAGGCCACAAATAGGAAGCCAAAAAGAATATGTAAATAAACTGAAAATCTCCTTTTTCCATAATGTAAATCATTCTCAATGCAAGGAAAAACACACTCTTAATGGTCTTACCTTGAAAGAGTCATCAATAAAAACCCTGATAAGAATATAATGTGTGTCAATTAATCAATTAACCCCCCAAGCCACTTCATCAATTCCCTGTGTCACTTACTATTGGATAGACGGCATTCTGTGCTCGGTGGAAATACTAACGGCAGGTTGTTGTTCTACAAAGCCGACATCCATTCCGGTGAGTGTTAAATTAATGCATTAGGAACCTACTTTTGAACATGTAGTCTGAGTCGAGGAGAGGCGCTCAGCATATAGGGGGCTGCAAACTCAGCGATAAATATTCTCCAGCAGAGACAGCCTGGCCTGACGCTGTGAAGCAATAAAATGCTCTTCACAATCCGCAGAAAAATTCAAACAGCATGGCTCGGCACAAATATCATTCTCCCAGCTCATTTGTGAATCAGCGCCAAGTTTGTTTTCCACCAGACCTTTGCCAGGCTGCTTTCGCTTCACTCTAAGCAAAGAATTTTGGGATTTTTTAAGTTCAAAGCAGTAGCTGCACAAGCTCTCGTTCAAATTTAGCTTTCTTACCAAAACTGTGCAACAGTTGGCACATTTTACATTTACCAAATTAAACAGCTGAATCACATAATCGTAGTACCATAAGCCTCTCCATTTAGCAAAAAAATCCATTATCATTAAAGCCTATCAAATTATGGGTACCAGAGAAATCCTCAATTTGCGACTAATAATGCCCATGCAGGCCTAATACTGACAACAACAAAAAATCATGAATATGGAACTTCCTCTTATTCCCTTTCAAAGCACTTAATTGCCAAAAAAACGGAAATGAGCGGCAGTAGTGGAGTGAATGGACCAGAACGCTGAAACATTGCTCGTTTTCTCACAAGAGCTCGTTAAACAGCAATACATACACATACTCAATTACGACATTTCCCTAATTGTGCATCAGATTGGTGGTCTGGATATGAGTTATAGTTGCTTCATGTCAGAATATCTCTCGCTCTAGAACTGGGGTGTAACACTTAGGGTCAACATTAAAACACTGCAGACGCAGCTCCAGACACACTCTTAAGAACATGTTAGAGCCAATAATGTTGCATTGTATGTGTGGCTTAATGCAACATAATGATATTGTGTCCTGTCAATGTATTTGCATACTTTGTTATGATACTTGCATTGCATAATGAGAAAATCATCACATTTTAATTTACTTAAAGGTGCACTATGGAAGTTTTTTTTTTAATGAACAGCTGAACAGCTAAAAATTTACAAGAAACAATTACTGAGTACATAAAAAATCTGAATTCATAACTGTGTCCTTGCCTTACCCCGATTCACAATGGAGAGCTTATAATAACGATTTATAATTTGAGCTGTCAGATCGGATTTTGTGGGAAATGTCAGTTTTACATTATTCATCTTTGTATGGTCGTGTCATGCAATGTTCTTACATAAATTCTTACATGCGATGTATTATGTGAAATTGAAAGATAACTTTACTACACACAAATTATGGTTAAGTACACAAAGTAATATTGATGTTGGCAACATTAACGATAAAAACACTGCTAGTAACTTGCAATTTTTGGTCACACTTTATTTTAAGGTCCAATTCTCGCTATTAACAAACCATTTATGACATTTACCTCAATAAACTCCTAATTTGCTGCTTATTAGTAGTTAGTAAGGTAGTTGTTAAGTTTAGGTATTGGGTAGTATTAGAGATGTAGAATGTGATCGTGCAGAATATGTGCTTTATAAGTACTAATAAACAGCCAATATGTTAATAATAGGCATGCTAATAAGCAAGTAGTTAATAGTGAGAATCTATACTGAAGTGTTACCCAATTTTTGGTTTAAAAATAGCAATAGAGAGTCCAAAGTACTGTCTCAATGAAACACAAGTATTGACAGACTTTTTCTTCAATATTGTGATGTAGGCTACATCTGATCTGAATGTTATAGAAAAATGTAGGACAGGGACTTGGTTGTGTGCATCGGTTGTTAAATGGATTTTGAGATACAGTGTTGGACAATTTGATTAAAAATGATGGGGTCAAAAAAATGTACGCTATATGTACATTAAAGCTTAAAATTGTAAAGATTGGAATACTGCAAAAACAAAAAAACACAAAAAGCAGGAAAAACAGTTTGCATCAAGAGAACAAAATCATATCTTCCATGGAAACTGGTGCAAATAGAAATTCTGGCATTTCAGAATGAACAAAGCATTTTTTTTTTTCAGTCAGACATTTTTTGAAGCACATCTTTATTCAGTAAATTTGTTCATAGTTTATGCAGTTTAAGTGTTTCCATGTTTTTTATGCATGTTTTGACATTTTTACTATCTATCCAGCATCCCCAATTTGCCATCCTATATCCCCAAATTTACATAAAAATATGTGGACAGAAACTTGGATAGTAAAACATGTAGTGGAACTTTAGCTTCCTAAATTTAGGTTTGGTTGCAATTAACTTAATTGTATATTTTTGTTTAATGCATATTTTATTTTATTCTTTTCAGAAATAATTGATAAAACATGTACTGCCAGTACTACCATTGAACATCTAGCAGTTAAAAAAAAAAACACTTTTCTAACTGTATAGTTGAGCTGAAGAGTCAATCAAGAGACATTTTGGATGCAATGGATGCATTTAGCATTTTTAATAATCATTCAAATAATTGTTGATTTAGTCACTGTTCATTGCAGCCCTACTAACACTGACCCAAAGTAATGTCTATCTTATCAATGACAATGAGATTATAGCAGCTGTTATCAGAGCTATACTGCCTAATTTATCCTTTTAGCCACTTCTTTCCATTCCACTTGTCCATTTAAACGGTTTTGTTCAATACTTTGCTTAGGAATGCAGAGGAAATGACACAATATTCAGCTTTACTCCAGCATTGAACATGTGTACAGGACTAAAGTTCAGCCATGCAGGGAGATGGTATGTATTTCACTGACATTAAAAACAACCTTACTCCCAGTAGAAGGACTTCATCTGTCAAAACACCTTTCACCATAATAAGGCAGCCATCATTTCCTCTCTCAAGCACACAAGTGTGAAATCGCTTGTCAAAACCTCAGAGATGTCAAACAGGTTGAAGCAAGTGTGCAGTTGTAACTCAGCTCTTTTAATGTGCAAATGTACTCCACAGACTGTGCAAACAAAAATCTGAAATGAAGTCAACGATTCTACAAAGTTGGTTATTCCTTTTTAATATGCCTACCATGTAAACCAATTTTTTTGGTAAATGCCACCTGCATAAACCAATGAGTTGTTAACATTTTACATGCCCTGTGTGTGTTAGTTGAAAATCTTTATTGTACTTTTAAACCCAAGCAAGCAGCTTGCGTTCTTACTGTGATTGTCGTTTTCAGTGCTGCCCATTCGGGCCATCTCTGCGGGGTGGGCCTGTTTGGCAGTGCGCCCTTTTGACAAGCCCGAGGAAGGCTTCACCACCCGGGCACCGCTGGAGGTGTCCATGCCTGTTTAGGACACAAATAGATCAGGCCAAAGGAAAATGCATTATCTGCACAGCAACAACATAAACCCAAAGATGCTTTCACTGTATCTGAAAGTTTTTGAATTGGGATTACAGACACCTGCAGAGACAGTACAGCATACACACAGAATGGCACAATTCATACAGACACACACACCTAATTATTGTCATCGATTTTGTTGCCTGACTGCATGAGGGAAAATTATAATTACAGTCTTTCAGCACGGTTGCCTTCCAGTGTCTGTCTGTCTGTCTGTCTGTCCGTCCGTCCATCCGTCCGGTCCATGCATCCATCTATCTATCTATCTATCTATCTATCGATCTATCTATCTATCTAACTATCCGTCTGTCTACCTAACTGTCTGTCCGTACGTCTGTCTGTCTGTCTGTCTGTCCGTCCGTCCATCCGTCCGGTCCATCCATTCATCCGTCTATCCATCTATCTATCTATCTATCTATCCATCAGGCCGTCCATCTGTCTGTCTGTCTATCTATCTATACAGCCATCCATCCATCCATCCATCCTCCATCCGTCTATCTATCTTTCTGTCTGTCTATCCATCTGTCTAATCTATCTATCTATCTATCTGTCTATCTGTCTGTCTGTCTGTCTGTCTGTCTGTATCTGTTTATTTTTTATTTACTACACATGATCATTTTAATTTTAACTTAATGTGCATAATAATAACAACAACAATAATAATAATAATAAATGGATTAATCAATTTAAAACTCTGGCTGAATGTTTTTTTTTTCACAGTCATCAATCCAGAAGGGAAACAGGCAGTTTATTGCAATGAATGAAGCCTGACAATGCCTAATTAAAATAAACAGCACTGATTAGAATGTGATCATACTTTCTTATTAACTTAAATCAATGTCATTTCACTTCTTCATTAGGTTTGGCCTAATGGGTCACTAATTTGTGTCTTTTTAAACAGCCATTAATTTAGTGTTCTTTTATTTGCTGAACAGTGGCCGGGCTTATGGCTGTATGATTTATCACGTGTCAAAGGAGATTTTATGAACACCACAGATAAATGTTTCATCTAATGCATGCCGTGGGAAGAGGCGCTTGTACATTTCCGGTGAGTGCTAATTGAAAGGGTTTACTTTAGGCAATACTGCGTGATCATGACAAACTTTCATAAGACTAAAAGTTGAAAAGCTACTGTACATGTACTGACACAGACACATACAGTACGTCTGAAAGAGATGTGATATCAAGCTGTAACCCCTCTAACCATCACAGCATACTGTTTTAAAATGCCAACCAAAACAACAGGTACTGCTCACAGCTGTGCTATTAAACCACAAAACAGGCCCACATAATGCATCACCAGATCACAGAACGACCCTCCCATCACCTAACCCACAAAGAAGAACGATAGATCTTCAAGTGCTGAAGATCATTACACCAAATTATTTATGGCCCAGAGACTGAAGCTCATTTGTGAGCCAGAAGTTTATTCCAAAAAGGAAAAGAGCAATAAGGTAATAGGAAAAGCAGCTGGTAGGACTAAGTGCTATGGTATTTGGGGAATTTATCACACACACTTTAGAAAGGCTGTGGATGGAAGTGTGTCTACACAATCAGAGAAACACACATGGCTCATTCCTGCTATGCAGTACCTATCAAAACTGTAACTTCTGAAGAATAAATATGCTTGATATGTAATTTAATGATATTATTCCAAACTTTCTAAAATGCTCTGATCAGAATCAAACACGTCAGCATTATTAATTATATAATGACATTATTTACACAATAACAAGAAAATGAATAAAACGGTTACTTACAAGAATACAATCAAGAGCTTTTTAATATTAAAAAGCAGATTTCTGTAATTTTATCAAACAGGATGGCATTTTTAGAGTGGAACAAACCAATACCACAAAAACACAGTGCATTAGTATTTTTAGATGTTTATTCTGTTGTTTTCCCAAGGGAAAAAAATGATGACACTTCCTGGCAGATGATGTCATAGGGAGCTTGTTTTGTAGTAATTTTCAAGTTAAAGAGTTTACCACAGACTAACATGACGGAAAATGATATTGAGGGCACAGTAAAAATCTATATTGATTCTCGATTAAAACACTATTTCCAAGATTGCAACAACACAAAATGAAGGTCTTAAATCATTTTCACTCCACAGTAAAACTAATATCTGATTTTCATATTCAACATTTCAACAAACTTTTAATAACCCAATGTGCTAGAACATACATGACAAGGACCTGAAAATGTAGGCCTGCTACTGCACAGTAAGAATGACCCACATAAGTCTTTTTAAGTGCTCAAACAGTGAGTGAGTGTATGTATCATGTCTGACAGTTTACCCATAAACACCACAACACATTCTTCTTGTATATTTCATTCCCAAAAAAGCCTTAACACCTTGTAACGCGTTAAACCACGCCGCTTTGCACAGTCCGGCGAGCTTATGCCTTTATTGGCAGTATTGACAGATAATCGACTTCTCGAAGGCCACACCTACCTGGAAAGTCACCCAACACTGGCGGGTGAGCGGGTGAGCGGGTCACCCACGTGGGGTCAGGCTGTAGCCTTTACTCTCGCGTCGCGCCGCTTGACTTTACATGGCAAACGCACCTGACGCGCGGGGAGTCGCGGACACACGGGCGTCACGGTCGGTAGCCACACTCACGTCCCCCGCTGTGAGTATCCGCGGAGGAAGATGATGATGAAGAAGAAGAAGAAGGAGGAGGAAGAAAAAAGAGCAAGCTGATGCAAATGCCCACAAGCCGAACACTTTCACCGCTTTCACCGACTGCACTCGGCGCCCCTCTTCATTAATATGTAATCCACGAGCTCTCTCATTCAAATCCAACTCAAAAGCACGCGCACAAAAACGCAGAAACGCCGCCAAAAATATGAAAATACAAGAAGCTTTCATAGGCAGTGAAGCAAAAGAAGATGAAGAAGAAGAAGAAGAAGAAGAAGGAGGAGGAAGAAAAAAGAGCAAGCTGATGCAAATGCCCACAAGCCGAACACTTTCACCGTGTTTCCAGACTGCACTCGGCGCCCCTCTTCATTAATATGTAATCCACGAGCTCTCTCATTCAAATCCAACTCAAAAGCACGCGCACAAAAACGCAGAAACGCCGCCAAAAATATGAAAATACAAGAAGCTTTCATAGGCAGTGAAGCAAAATGGCGACTTTAATACGAAGGAGGAGTAAAAAAAAAAAAACCTTCGCGCTGTTGCTAAAGGAGGCACGGGGATATGTTTAGTGCAGTAATCGAGGGAGGAAGAAGTGAACGCGACGGAAAGCAGAGGGGAAGGCACAGCGTCTCGCGGTTTCGCCGCAGCCCCTCGATTCCGGTCCTTACCTCGGGATTATGCCGTGTATTTGTTTGATAGGGATATTATCTCCGCGACCGTGTACAGTAACAGTAACGTATGGGTGCTGGGTCACGCGCGTATCCGCCGCTGCCTTTGACAGTTGCGACTACAGTCGGCAGGCAACTTGCAAACTCTCGCGTTATTATTTATGATCACTCATTTTGATATCAGGCCAATCATTTAGGTATTTCTGCCTAATAAAGCCCCTGCCTGAATGGAAGCGTTTGATGCGGCTTGACGTCATGCCGCTCGCTTATGACGACAGCAATGTAGCTAATATGAGAATGTTCCCAACATTATCATGACGTATGCGATTCTAAGTTTGGAGAAAAGATTGCTTCGTTTTTAGGGCAAGTTAATCTGAGGATATTCATATCATTATGACCTCGTCTTCTTTTCGATAATACATACATATATATATATATATATATATAATGTGGATTTGCACATACAAATGCATTATTTTAACTAGTTATTATCTGGATTTTTGCTGTCCAGAAGACAAAAGTTAACATGACGTCGTATCCCTGTAAATATTAAGTTTTGTTTTTATTTGTTTCTGTACTTGCTAAACTAATGCATATATTTTATTTCTGTCTACAAAGTGATTCAATTAAACATGTGTATGTGGGATTTTGAACGTTTTAATATTATAATTGCATTTAACAACTAAGCAGTGCACGACTTTTCTCACATTCTGTCTCGATAATCCGTCAAAATTGCATTTGCAGTGCAAATTATTCATTTTTATGTTTTCTAAATAATTATCAAGTGCGGTCTCGCTTTCCGCAGCTACGTCACAGGGCTTAAGACTTTAACCCATTATTTTTTGTCTCTTCAAACTATGACGTAATGTAAGCGCCATCGCTGCGGTCACCAGGAGAGGGAGGCACATGACTGCTTTTCTCAGGCTGTTATTGAGACTCGAAATGTGGAAAAAGTGATACCCCAAAACGAATTCCTATGTACATTCTGTCTCGATAATCCGTCAAAATTGCATTTGCAGTGCAAATTATTCATTTTTATGTTTTCTAAATAATTATCAAGTGCGGTCTCGCTTTCCGCAGCTACGTCACAGGGCTTAAGACTTTAACCCATTATTTTTTGTCTCTTCAAACTATGACGTAATGTAAGCGCCATCGCTGCGGTCACCAGGAGAGGGAGGCACATGACTGCTTTTCTCAGGCTGTTATTGAGACTCGAAATGTGGAAAAAGTGATACCCCAAAACGAATTCCTATGTTATACTGGCTGTAAATGCCATATTTGTCCAAAAGTAGCCTCAGAAAGTAAAAATAAATCAACACTCAACGCATGAAAGCCCTATTTTAGCAGACAAGCTCTCGGATGATAACATGCTATGTTTACCTATCCTATCTATTTTAGAACATTAGTTAATTAACTCTAGTAATCATTCACTATCTTATTTACCAAAAGCGTTTTGCATCGTTACTCTTTCTTCTCTCATATACGTTTCATTCTCATAAAAGTGTCCACTAGTCAGCAGTATAGTGCAGGATTATGTGACAGTAGGATGAGTTTATGACGGATGATAACAGGTGATGTGAGCACTTAACAAGGCTGTGGGCTGTGCAGGCCTGTCCCTCAAACTATCAATCTCATGACTTTAATAATGCACATGAAATATAAATATAAATCCTATTGGCTTTTTTTCTGGAAGATGACAAGTTTTGTATGTTATTAATATATCAGTCATTCTCCAGAGCACTACAGAAAATCACATGTCTACCAGAGGCCATAAACTGCACTTCGACCTCTGTGTTAGTGACTGGTGAAGGCCGAACTACTCTCAGAGTTACAAAGTACTCTTACATAATGGGTAGTTCATGTCATCTGGACACGTTCCCATAACCCTGTGGTAATACTGTATGTTAGCACTCCAGCTGTATTTTAGGCCATGAAATGAAGTAAAGCAAGCTGTGTGAAGGACCGCTTCAGCTCTGAGTAACTCCTCGCTGTTGAAATCCAAGAATAACTGAAGACATGGAGAGTCATTTCTTTTTGCTGCTGAGATTGGCAATGTGTGTGTTATTGTTGTATGATCGAGAGCTGCTAGTTCAAAAGAAGAGCAGTTTGGGTTCCCTTGACGATCCATTTTGCATAGAGAGACTGTGATTCATCTATCAATGCACTTTCCAGGGGTCTTCGACTGGTTTCTCTAGGTGGTCCACCATTTGTGGCTCAGTCACAAGCTACTCGTAGAAAAGAGATGTGAATATGCAGTAAACAAAAATACAGTATTTAGCTCATTTGATCTAGTTCTCTTGAATGTGTCTCTCCCGCATTACCTACATCTATGTCTTAAAACATAAATGTACAGCAACTAATATTTTTACTTTAAAAAAATATAGCCTACCTTACTATACTAAAATATACAATTATATTTTTTTAAATAAATAAAAGTGTAAAATATGACTCTTTACACCAATAATGATTGTTTTAATGGCTGTTAAATGTAAGCATTACTATGAAAATGCATTAATATCGTTCTCCGTGCATGAATAGGTCAGATTTAAAATACAGCACTCAATTTTACGCAGTACAATGTTATTAACAATAGTACTTGATTAGATCTATTTAGTTATTTACCTTATTTTAATTCATAGAATAATTGTTTCTGATATGGAAATGATTTAATATTTCATGTAATATTTAATTTTAATATGTATAAATATTTATTAAGTTTAGTATTCATTTATTATTTTAAATGTAACCTTATTTCAAAATTTATTGAATTAATCATAAATGATAATTATAAAATAATATTTATATACATTTTTATTTTAATACATTTTCGGTTCTCTTTATTTGATATGAAACAGTGTCATTTTAGTATGACTGAAATACTGTTATAGTCTCTGTTAATATTTTGAATTCGTTTTTATTTTTATAATTTATTTTAATTTTAGTTGAAGTTTTAGTAATTCCACTGTTTTTTTTTTTTCAATATATAGTTCTATATAGTTTTTGTGAATTTTTATTTTTAGTTTATTTTAGTACTTAAGTTTTTTTAATATATTTTATTTTATTTCATTTCAATTATTTATTTGATTTCAATTTATTTCCATTTATTTATTGATAGTTAGTTTGTTTGTCTTTAGTTAACAATAATATCCCCAATGTAAATTGTGTGTTATAAAAGTATATTAAATACAGAATAGAAAATGTGTTATAAAATAGAAAATAGTTCATTCTCCAAGCAATCCCATTACCTCCCCTCTCTCTTTCTTTATCTCCCTTTTCCCATCATATAGGCTAATGCAGCTGAAATGAATGGTTATGGGTGAATGGGGATCAACAGAGCATAAATCTACTGATATATAGATTTGCGTGTGTTGCTGATAAAGCAGAACGGTGTCATAGATCTTGAACACCATTAAGCAGATTTCTCAACACTTGCTGGTCAGTTTACCATCAGGTGTTCACTTACCTTGAGTCACGGCCCAGTGACTGCAGCGGAGAGAACGGAGCGACGAGAAGAGTTCAATTATAAATAAGATGACATGAGAGATATGATCGACTGCGCAGATCTTTCATCTTAAATAGATGGAATGTGTAACATGTGTTTTGTGGAGCACAACATGAACAGAACCCAGAGGGAAAGTGCAGTCATATATCACAATAGCAGAGCAGTTCACGGATGTCAAATAAATGCTGCTGTCACCAGCTCACTGACAGAGATACATGCATCCACGCTACGCCTGACTAGTCCTGGATTTGCCCCGCCACAGACGGTGTTGTGAATAATGAAAGAGAACATACCAGGAAAGCCTTGCTAAAATAGCACAGAACGTTTGTACATAGACCATGCTGGGAAATTTTTCAGTCTCCTTAATTGTTAGTACTTTTAGTACTTCGATGGGTTTATGCTGCCTTCAAGACTTCCTGTGTTTTATTATTTATTTATTTATTTATTTTATTTATTTTT